TGAACCAGGCGGGCAGTTTGCAAGGAGGCAGCTCAACGCCCCACGCCGGACTTGCACCAAGTTGGTCGGCTACACCATTAAAGAATATGGAGTTAGCAGGTGTGAAGTCATTTTATGGAGAGCTAGGGACAGACTAGACAATCCCAAAGCACTTCCCCCCCTGATGTTGTGCTTTCATTGCTCTTTAGCCTCAAAAATCACTTTGTTACCTATTTGGCTGACAGGTCAGGCACGCAGCCTTTACGAGCCAAACCACTTGTTTCTGTGCCACCGTGCAATGATACCCCTCCTCTGCTACCTGCTCCCCCACCGCTGGACCTCCAGGCTGGGTGAATCCGTAGGAGGGATTCGGTACCCTAGCGCTGGCACCACAGGGGCTGGAGAGCACTGCGTCTCAAGCTGGCTTTCCCTTAACGTCATCCGGGCCTTTTACCTCCTGTTTTGCCATTTTAGTGGAGGAACGTGACTGCGATGCTAGTGATGTTCTTGCTACAGCTCCCGTTTCCCAACACACAGTGTTGATGCTACTTCAGCTGTCCGCCTGTCCTCCCGCTGCTCCTTCCCGGCTCTGCACGGGGGCTCCCCGTGGCTGTGCAGAAGCAGCTGCTCATGCGGCGCCGGGCTGGGAGCTGGCGCAGGGCATTGTTACAGTGGTTAGCAATTTCCATTTCTTGTTTCTTTAAGGCCCCGGGTTCCCTTGGACGGTCAGAGCCGCGCAGAGGAGCCAGGGCAGCGTGCTGTGGCGCAGCGCTGGGCACAAGCGGGCCGCAGGGGAGGCCGGGAGCTTCGGCTGAGGCTGCTCTCATAACATGAAATCACAGAACGGCCAAGGTGGGAAGGGACCTCTGGAGCTCGTCTAGTCCAAATCGTGGCCCTGGGGTACAAACGGGGCCATATCCTGAAGGCAGTGATGGTATCTTTCATTACCTGGAGCAGTAAAGTTGAAAAAAAACAAAGTTTGGGTCTACAAACCTGTCTTTGGCTGTACCATTTCCATACTTCAGCCATCTCGGAGGCAGTTTTAGCCAGGCAGGGTATGCTTTACTGAGGTTCGCGTGGGCTCCTACACCAGGGTGGCTCCCTTGCGCCCAGGTGCAGCCTGCGCTGCTCACAGAAGTAAACGAAGTGGTGGGGATGGACAGTTATGCACTTTTTGCAGCGCTGCCGTGCCGCTCCTGTAGCAGTTTGCCGGTTCAGCTGAGCAGCCGGTTTGGGCCGCTTGGCGGCGCTTGCCCTGGCTCCGCTCGCACCGCGCTCCCACGGCC